TCCAAACGTCCTGAGTTCAATTTCCAGCAACCACATGTTGGCTCACAACCATCTATAATAAGATCTGGTGCCCTCTTCTGGTATGTAGGCAGAACATTGTATATATAATAAATAAATCTTGAAAGAAAGAAGGAAGGAAGGAAGGAAGGAAGGGAGGGAGGGAGGGAGGGAGGGAGGGAAGAGAAGAGAAGAGAAGAGAAGAGAAGAGAAGAGAAGAGAAGAGAAGAGAAGAGAAGAGAAGAGAAGAGAAGAGAAGAAAAAAAGAAAGTATCTAAAACCCAACTTAGTGTTGTACTTGTGAGAGATTTTTCTTGGTTGGATTATTTGGGATCCACCCTAAACCTAGACCATTTGAGGTCAGAAGATTCACCCTAAATCTGGACCATACTTTCTTAGTGGTAGTTGACATGAAAGGACTTAGAAGAAGGGAGCTTTTGCTCTCCATCTCTTGTCCCCACTCTAAGGAGTTAAATGTGCTTCTCTGGGATTCCTCAGTGGACTGAAACTGGCAGCTCTCTAGTACCCCACTGGGCTCCAGCAAGACTGGGACTGCTGATATATCCAGGTTCCTTGACCAAATAAGTACTGGATCCTTGACCTTTCTGTCAGGAAACAGTCACTACTAAACTACTTGGACCACAGCCTATAAGCCTCTCTACTAAATCCTTTACTGACATATAGATCTATATTAGTTCATTCCATCAGTTCTGTTCCTTAGAGAATACTAGTATAATCACCAAGAAACACAGAGGATGTCGAGACTAATATGGACAAAGTCTTTCTAGAAGGCCTGCTCTCCTAAGAACCCTGGTCTAAAACCTGACAGTTTGCTAAGTGGAAAATGGTACATACTGGCCATGAGAAGCCTTGTACTGGCTGTTTTTGTGTCAACTTGACACAAGCTAGAGTCATCAGAAGAAGGAGCCTCAGTTGAGGACGTGCCTCCATGAGATCCAGCTGTAAGGCATTTTCTCAATTAGTGATCAATGTGGGAGGGCCCAGGCCATGGTGGGTGGCGCAAGCCCTGGGCTGGGGATCCTGGGTTCTATAAGAACCAAAGTGAAGCAAGATAGTAAGTAGCTCCCCTCCTTGATCTCTGCATTCACTCCTGCCTCCAGAATCCTGCCCTGCTTGAGTTCTTGACCTGAATTTCTTTGGTGATGTGGATGTATAAGATAAATAAACCCTTTTCCTACTTGTTTTTGGTCATGGTGTTTCATCGCAGCAACAGAAATCCTAAAACTATTAGAGACTATGTCCAATATAGATTCTCAGGAAGACTCCTGGCTGCCTGACCCCTAGGGAACACTTCTTATCCTCTATGTCCTTAACAAATACATAAGGGATACGTAATTTTGAGCCTACAAAAAAAGCTGTGTTCACAGCTGTAGACAAAAACAAGCACACCTTACCCATGGCCATACACTACCCCATCCCTCTTACCCAGTAAAACATTTGATTCACATTTTTTTAAACATAAAGGGGATGAAATGAGGTCTCAACTTACCGGAAATTATTGCATCCTAACACCACACCAACAATGTTCTTGCCTATGTCGTGCACATCACCTTTAACAGTGGCCAGCACAATGGTGCCTTGGTAAGGGTCCTGCAAAGTGAGACAAGCAGCTGAGCATGGGTGGGGGGTCGCCAGAAAGACCATTTGGTTCTCAAGAGCCACACAGAGATGGCAGAGAAATAAATACCAGAACTCAAAGGTAGGTCGGGGACCCAAGTAAGAGTCTACTTGAAGCTCTGTGCCACCCAGAAGTTCAAAAGAGGCCTGCCTATCAAGTCAGCCCAGGGATTACAACCAAGCTCATAGGTTCTAGCATCTGAAAAAGAGTCAGCAGTCACAGACACAGTCCTACAGCTAAAGACCACATCCTTAACCCTGAAACTGCCAAGGTATATTGCTGAAAGTCAGAAAAGAGAGGGTGCCATAGAATATGTTACACTTGTTATGCTACAGACTATTACTTTAACTGTGTAAAGGTGTGTCAAAGTTTTCCTGTTGCATTTGTTTAATTATGTAAAAATGTGTTGCATTTGTTTAACCTTGCCTGCCTAAGACACCTGATTGGTCTAATAAAGAGCTGAATGGTCAATAGCTAGGCAGGAGAGGAATAAGTGGGGTTGGCTGGCAGAGAGAATAAGTAGGACAAATCCAGAAAAGAGAAGAGAGAGGAGAGAACAATGGAGAAAGAGAGACACTCCAGGGCAGCCAGGAGCCAGCAGTCAGCTAGACGGAGTAGTATATACAGAAGAAAAGAAGGGCAAAAAGCCCCAAGGCAAAACATAGATGAAGAGAAACAGGTTAAGTAATAAGAGCTAGCAAGAAACGAGCATAAGATAAGGTCAAGAATTCATAACTAGTATTGTAGAACTTTAAGACAATTTTGAAGCCATTTCTGACAATTCTGAGCCTTCTCAGTCTCAGCAGTAATGCTCCCCTCTTCCCCCCTGGGAACGAAGGACCTAACAATTGCCCACACATGTACTGAAATGTTGGGAACTTTCTATCATCTCCCTGAGTCCTTGTGAATGTTCTCCAAATAGAACTCAGTTATTGAATAGGGGCAAGATAACCCTTAGGTGTTGACTTAGTGACTGATGTTTTGACTGAGGCCCTGGGAAAGGGGCAGAATGACCCTCAGATGTTTTCCCTTACCTCAGCAGATCTGGCAACCACTCTCCAGCCAATTATTGGTAATAGCCCTTTTGAACAAGCCAATCATAATAGTTAAAGAACAACCCCCAGACGCCCCTTCCTTCTGTGGTTTTTCCCTTAAAAAACAGCCTGTACCAGCCATTTGGGGTCTTCTAGCCTCCTGAATGCTGGAAGACCCTGTCATGGCAGAATTAATACAATCCTCATGCTTTTACATCAGCTGTGGTGGTGAGAGATGGTCTCTGGGGGGTGACTCCTCCTCAGTGATTGGACTCTAGGGTCCAACAGTATTAAGTCTCCATGTTATGATTTGGGAGCTGGTTGGTGGTTCAAAAGAAATTCGGCTACAAGGGAGGAGCTGGCTAACTAAAGATGTCCCTCAAATTTTCAAAGCAGCCTTGTGCAGGGAATGTAGACTCATCTTTTATTTCTCTAAAACAGTTCTTTTGCACACTAATGAAACAAGAAAATGAAAGGTAGGTATGCAAGGCAGGCATCATCTCTCCAATTCAGCCAACTGCAATTTTAGAATTCTCAGGGCTAAAGTTGTCTGAACTACACAATGCTCTAAATAAAGTAAAAAGGCTAGTGGCTGACTCTGGTGGTGAGGCCAGCAAGGATAAATGCTACAAGTGGTACCAAGGGGATAACTAAGAAGTATTCGGGGAAGAGCTTCCTAAAAGCAAACATGATACATTTAAAACATGAACATGGCCAACCTAGCAGAGCAAGGTACCTGCTTTGAAAACCTAAAGACCTGAGTTCAATGCTCTGGGTCTACCCATGTAAAGGTGGAAAGAATGCACCAACTAACTGCATAAAAGCTTTACTGATGAGGCTCCCAACCCCACAAAAACAATAATCTTCCAGGCCAACTCCTGAAAAGGCTTCAGGCCTGAACAAAATAACTTGCCTCTTCTTCAACCGAACCATTAAGAATTCTTGCTTCCTCTCTTTCTTTTTCCATGAAAGGGATAAGGTGTCCAACAGCCTTCTTCATGACACGGGCTGACTTTATAACCTGGAAAAAAGCAGAATTAGACATCATTAGCAAAACATCACATGACTGTCACTGTTGACCCATGAAGCTTCAGTACTAATTAAGAATGCGTAATTCGACTGTCCCAGATTTCTATAATGAGCAGGATGAGGAATTAGAACCCTGTGGGAACACCAATAAATGAGACACAGCAAGAGGAAAACCAAACACAAACAAAAGGTTAAAATTTCTGTTCCTGAACTTTCACTTGGTAGGCCTTTTCTTTTTCTGCCTAAAGTCTCTGTGTCTCTGAATTCTATGCATCTTTTAAATTCCACATTCAACATGGTGCATCCCCATCATTTTATAAATCCCCAGTATTTTAACTCACCTAAAATGAGGTTTATGAAAGAGGCTCTCTTAGCTATTTACATGTTTCAGAGCCCCAAATCTAGATGCTCAGCAAGGATTCGTTAAATGATAGTTTTAAGTACTTGCTTTAATAAAGAATTCTGGTTTTACATAAAATACATCATTTCAAGTCCCACTATTTAAAAGAGTAATATATTTTCAAAATAGGCATTCTTAAAGATGGTCACTGGCAAGCTGGTTGGTGGTGGTGCATGCCTTTAATCCCAGCACTTGGGAGGCAGGACAGGTGGATAGAGGCCAGCTTGGTCTACAGAGCAAGTTTCAGGACAGGCCCCAAAGTTACAGAGAAACCCTGTCTTGAAAAAAACAACAAAAAAGATGGCCACTGGTTTGTCACGTCAAATGTTAATATTAACATTACATTTACCTTAGGTAGAGGGGGCATGAAAATACATAACATGCAGATTATGGTACAAAGAATCTCTGCAAGCTTTCTAACCACTACATACTCTAAAGATGGACTGGCAAGAGATGGTTCCTAAATACACTCAGAAAAGAAGTGGTCAGATAATACTATCAAGTTTTGCATATACCAAAAACTCAGAAAATACTCAAACTCAATATTTACTAAAAAAAAAAATAGAAAAAGATTTGTTAAAATTTCTCTGTTTCACCAACCTGAGGTAGAAACATTTTTCCAGCTCCGAAAAGATCACCAACCACTTTCATGCCATTCATTAGAGGCCCTTCAATTATATTCAGAGGTCGGGGGTATTTTTTCTGATTTAACCTGGCTTCTTCAGTATCTTCAACAATATGCTTTTCAATGCCCTTAAAAGAAAAAAAGAAAGAAAAAAGAAGGAGGGGGAAGAAAACAAACAAGCAATTGTAAAGGTCAAAATGAAATAATGAATCAAAGAGATGTTGAAGAGCACAAATCCCAGAATCAGTCTGACAGAGTTTGAGTCCTGGTTCTCATCACTAATGCAGGTAATTTATGAAGTTTTGGTTTCTTCACAGAATCACCAAACGTACCAACCTCCTGTTTATCTGGACAATCACTGTAATGCTATTTATTTATAGTGCCTCACTAGTAATAGGAAGTAACTCAGAAAAAGGAGGTATTTGTGAAGACTGAGAATGTAGTTCAGTGGCAGAGTAGGTGTTTATCATGTGTGAGGATCTGAGTTCAATCCTCAGCAACTGATCATGTGCTAATAAATATCTCTATAAAATCAGTATCTATTAGCTCAGTGAGGTGTGGTGATGCATGCCTTTAATCCTAGCCCTCAAGGCACTGGCAAGTGGATCTCTATGTTCAAGTCCAGCTTAATCTATATGGTAAGCTCTAGGCCAACCAGAGATATACAGTAAGATCGTATTTCAAATAAATTAATAGACAAGTATCTTCTCTCACTATAACACTACTTGGCTAGGAAAGGATTCAATACTAGAAAGAATCTCAGGTGAAATTAAAACAAAAACAACAACAACAAAAAAAAACAAAACAAAAACAAAAACATGGAACTTTCCTCCCCTGACTTGCCTGATTTGCAGACTCTAAAGCTAAGGATCCACAAGGATTGTAGGACACAAATGAATAGTTCACAAAATGAAATATGTACTCTCAGAAGGTCTAAGAATTAAAACTTAAATTCTAGAACCTTTTTAAAAAACACTCTGGAACTTTCCAGACTCTCAAATGTAGACACTGAGGTCAAGAGATTACTTATTTAAAATTCTTTCTGTTATGGAAGAGCCCCCTACTGTCCTGCTAACTGACCAAAAGGAACCTGGTCTAGGGTGGGTTCTCGAGCTCAGAACTATTAATTGCCTAAAGTCCTTGCTGTGTGTGTGGGCCTACCCTGTGCACTGCAGTCACTGCAGCATCTTCCACACCCATCTGTGAAAACTGAACACGTCTTTAGACACTGTCAAACGGCACTGGGAAACAGATCCCTGAAGGCTAAGAATTAATGGTCAGACATCTAGGGCAGCACCCTCTCCAACTGCTGTCAGCAATGATACCAGGAAGCCGTGACTTCCTGTACAGGCTCTGGAACTCACCTTCACGAGAGCATACTCAAGACGCTCTTCAATGGAGCCACTCCTCCACTCATCTGTCTGGATGACTTTCTTCCCTCCTTTGCCATGAGTCTGAATGAAAATTAAGATAAAAAGTGAGTACAAATGATACATAGTGAACTATCTGCAGGAAGAAAAAAGAAAAGCGCCTTTTCCTTGCTTTAAGTTTCCAGACCCCCAGGGTGTTCAACATGAATGTTGAAAAAGAACAAAAAAATCTTTTAAAATTTAAACTTTCGGTAGCGAAAAGCAATGGTGTACTTTTATTTCTCCTAAAAAATAACAACTGACATCAAAATATTTCTAGGATATAAAAGTTATTCTCTAACATTCCAGCTCTCAGGAAGGATCAACATCCCCCACATATAATCAATCGTCGAGAATCTGGGAGCCATGAGCAGTAGTTGCACAGTCCTATAATCCCAACACTTGGAAAGTTGAGGCAGGTTGATTGTGAGTTCCAGATCAACTAAGCAGTGTAAGATCCTGATCACTGAGATTTTATCATATAAGAGAGGAAGGAAGAAAACATAAAGAAGGGAAAACTCTAAAAGTGCACATCAGGGGCTGAATGAAGGATGTCTAACAGCATCATGGAAGTTTGAGGAAACAGACACCACCAACTGAGACAGTGATGAAGGGCTTCAGAAGTTGAGTCTCAGAAATTCAGAAAAAGGATACAGGTACAAGGTAAGTACCCTGGCACACTGGGTGGATTACACTACTTTGTATGTTCTCCTCCCTCCAAGTGTATTTATATATACACAAGTGTATATAAAAATGACAGAGCCAGGTAGTGGTGGCACATACCTTTAATCCCAGTAGTCAGGAGGCAGAGGCAGGAGCTCTGTGAGATCTACAAAGTGATTTCCAGAACAGTCAGGGCTGTTACACACACATACACACAAAAAATCTTGTTTCAAAAACAATAACAACAAAAACAAAAAGAGAGAGGAGGGAAGGAAGGAAGGAAGGAAGGAAGGAAGGAAGGAAGGAAGGAAGGAAGGAAGGAAGGAAGGAA